CATTCGTGATAATAATGGTTTTCCTGGTTTTGGGAGTGGGTCCATGGATTTACATTTTGGAGGCGTACATAAGCCTATTTCTCAGATAACTACATACCAAGTTCCAATAAGAAAATCAACAGATCGTTTTGAATGGGTTGATTGGGAGGTATTTTCAGTTCAACCTTTAATTTAATCTGTTTGTCAAGCTTGTTTTATCAATTATTTATTTGTATCACTATTGCTTATGCATTTACATAATGGACAGTACATAATGTACTATATGGTAAAAGAATAAATTTTTATGATAATAGTGAGTTGGTTCTGCTAAATTAAGTTTTATGTTGTCTCAAATAACTTTTTGTCTAGATATTTGTTTTATTACTATACATTTGTATTACTTCTGATTGTATTGAAGTGATTAAATCTCTGGCTGCTATTTTTTAATTTTTTGTAGATAAAACTATGTACTGCATATAGTGCTATCTTGACATTCTAGTACATAATTTATGCATAAAAAACTCATATACCAATACACCAATACTCGATATTCAGTAAAATTTTTTTCCATCAAGGAAATAGTGGGAAATGGTATAAGAAAAAAGTGTAAATAATATCTTCGCGACATAAGAGTAATTGCTTGGATTGTAGTGTAATTGCGGGCATGGATATCGTGTCGGTGTCTGGCTATTCGGTGTTGATCCTTCGAGATAACAGATAAAAGACTTTGATCCAAGTGGGTATACTGTATAATTCTTGCATCATAAGGGATCCAGTTTGATATACGTATTGAAAAAGAATTGTTATTGTGTAGGCGAGCGTCGTTTTGGTAACAATATGGTTAAAATAGACTAGATGCACGTCTTCAATTTGTATTGAAATGTTGACAAAGATTGAGATTGCTATATAGTTCTTTTAAACTCAACTCGTTCATGAAGACGACTGCTTTACCTTGACAATAACAGGCATGCAATGCAATGTTTGTCAGAAAGGTTAAAAATAAAACCGTTTATACGGTTATGCACATTTCAACATACAGTACATTCCGCAAGCCTTCCAAAAAAAAATGAGTAAAGTTGCAGAAAAAAAATACTAAAAAAAAACATGCAGTTCACGTACTAATGGTATATTTTCTGCAGGGCATTTTCAAATAATTTATGGTTATTTTCTTAGGCACATTATTAACACGTAAATATATGTATCGAGTCAACAATCACGGGAGTAGTTTACTCTAGGAATTTAGCTAATCTCCAAATGGAGCTGTGGCTTCAAATATGACGACTTCGACAGTTAGTGACTTGTAACTAGGCTTACTACTCACAGCCTGGTGTCGATCGGTAGACACTAATTCTACACGGTTATTCGCCCTCGAGCTAATCGACTATTTTTTCCTGGAATATTTTGGAAGCTTATAGGTTGGGGTACACTTGTATCTATCTAAAACGTATTTTCACTTAAGCAAATAACAATTGCAATGCCTCTGGAATAACTGCAGACAAAAGGCGGATGTAGTGGCCGCAACTATACCGATAATTGTAAATTATTTCAGGGGATGTAGTAAAACGTAATAATGATGCGAGTATGATAAATTCCATCGGAATGAATGTTGTGCTTCTAATCGAATGCTAATTTTTAATTACAGCAACGCCTACTACTGTCTTTCCCCACTAAAATCGTAAATTATGTACGCGACGCGGTTGTGCAATATACAGTACGTTAACTATTTATTGGTTGTGCACAATCACATGGATTTCACTTTACAGTAAAATAGATTTTCTGTAATGAAGACTACAATTGACATATTTAAGTAATAAGATATATTGCCGTGCTGTTTGTTCTGTATACATAGAATTTTATTTTATCCAAATTTCCGACAAGATTGTCTAATACCAGAAAAAATGAACGAGCAGTGAGCAGTACATAAACATGCAGCTTCTTATGTTTAATTATTTGTTAAAGCAATCGCTAGTCTTCTTGAAAAAAAAAACCGGGTTGTACATAATTTTATGGTAGGAAAGTATTACAAGCAACTGCAATAAACTTGACTTGTTTCGTTTTCATACTATTTTTGGTTACATGTCTTCTTCTAATTGTTCAATAGTTTCCATATTTGATTCAATGTAAGTATTATCGTGTCAACAATTACAGAAGAGCGATACGATCGTTAACATCAGAGATTTAACTTCCTTTCAAGTGAAGAGCGCTTCTCCTACTTGAGTAAGAAATGATAACTAGTACACGTAACCTTTAAAACCAGGCTTTCCGCTATTCACGACTCAACGTCAATCAATAGACGTCAACCCTAGAAAGATAATCCTCGAATATCATCAATATTCTCTTCGGGTAAGTTTATAATTATAACAAACTTTTTATTACAGCGATGCTGCAAGAGTTATCATAGGACAAGAAGCGGATACTCCTAAACAATATAAGGATTAACGCTTATCGGCTATATAGAATAATACTTAGAGAATGAACTAATTGTCGAATATGTTCAGAGTATAAGGACTACTCGTTTATCAATGATGAAATAAATTGAAGCTATGACACACTGAGATTCTTGTGATATACCGATCGTAGCAAAAAAGCAAATCGCTTAAATACTTTCTGAACTGCCTACCCCTGTCTATTTTTGTCTACGTGTACTACTGCCCGTTCTTCCCAAATAACCAGGTAAATTTTTATGTGCCCCGGTTGACGGGCTTAGTGTAGTGTTTTAAAGCAATAATCGCAACATTATGAAAGTTTGTGTCTATATGTTTTAGTATTTAAGTAAAGCAGCAAATACCAATTGTATTTAAATTGAACAGTGATAATCATGTTACGGCAAGTGATCTGATGAATCAGATAAGCGAATCACATGGTAAAGCTTTCTCCGCAGTCAGTCAGAACCCATGATCGATATTTGAATTTAGAATGGTAGTACAGCGTTGATACTTCGTGTCGATTTTGAGTGTCAGCACAAACGCCATTAGCTGATTTGGATTTTATAATTTACGATTATCTAGACGTTTTACTTCCGTTGCGATTTTTGAGTTTTCTAAAGGTATATAAGCGACCCCTATCCCGTTGTCAAAAAAACTGATGTTGATATCAATTGTTGTTTATGTAATAAACATTGTTTAGTGACCACTTCACGAAATAATAATTAAATAAACGATTTCCTCGAAATTATTCATCGTTGAAATATTAATTATTTGACCGGATACAATAATAAATGGCTCTATTAAGCTGTATAAGTTGTCCGTTAATCTATATTATTCTTGAAAGCCAATAATTATTTATCGATTAGTTTTTTGTTAAGAGACAAGTGACAGATATCCGACTAGTCGAGTCAAAGAAAGCCCTGTTTAATTATTAAATAGAATTATTTTCCATTTGATTCTGCGGTAGAATAATTGTTGTTAATTTGTGGCACCCGTATTTGGATTACGAGTGATCGAAGCTCATATAGGGAATTAGGAAACGCGTAATTTTAATTATTAAATTAGGTCACTTGCAGAACAACTACCGTAATGAGGACGGTAGCGCGAAGCTAAATCTGGTAGCATTCCCCGGTCGGCAGATCACCCCTACGCGAAAGATAATCGCTCTCCCAAACCCCCAGACCATCCAACCGTAACAAAGAGTTTTGATACGCCGGCCAGAATTATTTATTTCTGAGGTAAACAATAATTGGTAGTATTTATTTAACCTGACTCTGTATTATTATTTAACCTGACTCTGTATTATTATTTAACCTAACTCTGTATTATTATTTAACCTAACTCTGTATTATTATTTAACCTGACTCTGTATTATTTTTATTTAATAGTTCAGAAATCAAAAGTTTCACATGGTGGTCGTTTTCTTAAAATTCATGGAGTCACACAAGACCCAGAAACAAAGAGTACATGATTGTTATGCAATAATAATAATGCTAATAATGGTAGTGAAATATCAACAGATTGACGTTTATATGATATTGTGCAAGATCTAAAAACTATTCATAGTTAGTGCATTGTGGTCTTCACGTAAACATTGTTTTGAACAGTGGCATGACGGAAAAGACAGAAAAAGAGTTAGAGTTCAACCGCTCATACATATGCGATCTTGGTCTCTCACGACCAATGTATGCATTCAACTATTCGAGGTGTTTTACCCTTTATATTTATTGCACCAGAAGTCTTTCATACCTGCAAATTTGCTCAAAAATCAGATGTGTATTTATTTGGTATTATTATGCATTTAATGGTCACTGGTGAACTACAACCATCGATGCCTGATTCAGCACCAGAGAATACAAACAACTTGCCAGGCGGTGTTGTGATGCTGATCCTGACAAACTTCCAAATGTAGAGACGCTTTGTCTGATTTTTACAGTCATTCTGATAGGTGAGCTACTGGAGTCATAAAGACATGTGGAATACCATCTATCGCGAAACCCAATCATGTCTTGAGAAGGAGTGTATATACTCTTACCTACTAGAGATTTACCTAAACCGAGAAATAGCTATGTGATTTGGATTCAGCTGCAGGTATGAACAACTGGTCGCATGTTGGTGTTAACATCATCAATTGTCTTATAATTTAGTGACTCAAATTTTTGAATAAATTTGAAAATTTACAACTCGTACGGGTTTCTTCAACGCTGCTAATTTATTTACAAGTTATTTTTCTGTATGATATATTCACGTACAGTTTGTTAATAAGATTCCGAAATAAAATTCACCTATTTAGCTGTCTTTTGAAATGAACGGCTGCATGTTAATTGTTAGATATTCAACAATATATTGTTCTTCTTGTATTAACTGCAATCAGGTCACAATCTTAAGGTCACAATCTACAAATAGTACTTTTTACAGAACGGAAGTATGGGGGTTGCCCTTATAAGCGTTTTAGTTGCCAACATCGGGACTAGCAAATCCAATCAGCCTAATAGCACCCTTAGCCGTGCGTGGTTGGAGCCGTTACTACTCTTGCCAGACTCATCGAATGCATGGGCTCTGTTTATAAATACCAGCATCGTGTAATCAACCAACTCACCATGGGAGTGTCACATCCATCTTGATACAAATATCCAAGACTGACTCTTGCAACGGAGTAAGATAATCGCGATCTGGTCTATATGACGGACTATTTGCATAGCAATACACGTTTGACTTTTTCAAACTCAAGATAATTTTGTAGAGGTCAGCAAATGCCGGAGTGTATGCTGTTAGAGTGTCTTGAGTAAAGTGTGTAGCTACGTTCTGGACGAAACTTCATTGTCAATTTCAGCACCATCCGGATCGGATGATGCGTGCCTCCTGACATTGTTATCATACCAAACCAATTCTTTCCCAAATGACCCATGCAGTCTGCAAATACGGCAAAGATTTTCTTGCTCCGTGATCGGCTTCATTTGGACTTTGGATAATAGTATTTAAGGCCTTGATAGACGCGATAGTCACTTCATGACTAGAATGTAAATGCAGACAATAAGAAACAAACCTTAGTCATCCCACTGTTTATGCGAGTAATGACTCACGCTTCCACTGTCGACACTTGAGCGTTCCTCTTCTCCGATTATGCTCGAACCCTCCATGTGGCCAGGACCAACGATGCACACTACACTTTAATCTCAAATATCATAGCCCATCCACAAAATAAGAGAGTGTCCTGACGTCTGAAGCAATTTATGTAGAGTCTCCAAACTCATCCTACATAGTAGCCTTTAGCGCTCAAGCTACAAGAAGTTGCATTTGTATTTTGATTCACAAGCTTGGGTGTGGGCTATTATTGATCAATGAGATATGAGACTAGAAGAGATTCGCGCACAGTCAAACGGGGTATATGAGTAGCGAGACGGAGCGCAATTGGGCTTGCCGTTTAGATAAGTTGTATATGGAACTGAAACAATCATCATACTCACATTCCCTCGAACAAATTAGCTGTGGTAATTCTTTTCGTGGTCACATTTCATAATGAGAGTAGAGTCTATTAACACAAGATGCATACAAAGCTGCAAAGTACCATCGATCGCCCAGAAACTCAAATAATTTCTTCGATTACAGATTGCTGAGAATCCAAGCAATGTCACATGAAGCAGAGTTACCAGATCAGGGACGATGAAGGTACAGAGGTGTGGAGGATGTGAAGAGATTACCTAATCGTTGTGAATTACATAACGCGCCTCGAGCATATCATATCGGAATAGAGTACATCCTACTAAATAAAGTGTCCCAATACCAAATACCATGAATCACCTAGCATCCCACTGACAATTTGAGCGATGTTCAATAGAATGTCAAGCATGATAAATTTCGATCTGATAAAAGGGCTTACGAAAGTCCCATCTTCACTTGGCTATACCACTGTTTCTGCAATTGCTGACACAACAACGCTTGCATGGACAGCTCGTTAAAATAGATCACGCGCGGGGTAGTTAAATGCAGTACGTCCAGACAATTGCAAAGTTTTGATATGATCGTTCTGCGTCGAAATTGGCCGTTAAAAAAGAAGACTGTTTAGCCAAAGCCTGACAAAATTATGTCCTTGCAAAGTCAAGCAAGCTCAAATTTGATGATAAGCGGTTAAAGCCGTCCCAACCACGTAATGATAAACGTGCCATGTACCTTACAAACACCCGCGGCGGCTGCAATGATCAGCAAAAAATTTGGCGTTAAAGTTAGCGCAAAGAAAACAAATATGATGTGAGAACGTGTGAGAACGTGTGAGAATCACGAGGCCCCATTGCATTTGAAAGAAGTTAATTAGATTATACAAACAAGAAACAGCGAGACGTCATAAAAAATTCTTATCGCTGATCAGATAAGTATGTTGCACAACGATCGATTGAAAATGGACGTTTCAAACTTTGCACAAACACACACGAACATGGATAACTTTGTTGATTTGTCCTCGAGCCTTTCATCAGATTATGAGAAGTTTTACGAAAATGGCAAATACACAGATATTTCGATTCATGTTGGAAGAGAGCCA